AGAAAATGTGTATCCTTGTGCATTGGGAGAGAAAGACCTTTCCAAGGAATAAATGTGTGCATGTTTGTGGTGTGGATGTATCTTTTGTTACAAAAACCCAAACTTAAGCTCTTTGCCAATGTTAGATGGTAGCTTTGGTGTAATGTGGCATGTTAAACCCTGCAGCTGAAAAGGTGCTTGGAAAACTCAGTATGAATAACATTGCAGAAGACTTGCTCCACGCTATGTCTGCCTTTTCCTCCTCTCTTGACTCCTCATGTCTGCTGGCAGCTATGAATGAAATGTGCCAAGCTAAGTGACTGGCATCTATTAACACTCCTTCGCAAATCTTGGGCCTTATATTTGAAAAGCCTGTGATATATATATATATATATATATATATATATATATATATATATATATATATTCTTTAAAGGAAGAAAATAAGTGCAGCAGTGGGGGGGTGAGAAGAGAGAGATTGGAGGATAGTGTGTTCTTTGAATCTGACTTTGCTGAACCGCTGCCAAAGGCAGGCCGTTCCATTCAAAGGGCGGACTGAATAAATGAGAATAACTTCCTTAGGGACCTTCGAGATCAGTTTACTCTGAAAATGTTCAGCCTCACAAAGGGTCAGAGTCACAAGGTAAATGGAAATGGCTGGGAGGGGACTTTGATGGCCGAAACACTGTAACTGTAGAGGACTTGAAAGAAAATTCTATTTTTTTAAAAAAGGAGAAAGAAAAAAGAGAGAGCAAGAGGGAGAGAAAAAAGAAAGAAAGAAACACCAAGAGGAGGGGAGACGGCAGGAAATGACTTGGAGGGAAAAGGGCAATTGAAAATCATAAACTAGAGGACACCTTCTGTGTTGTTCGTTCCTCTCCATTCTTTAAAATATCGCCAGCCAGAAGGATATTTGTTAATAGTGGCTGTGAGAAAATTACAAATGCATTTGTGTGTGTGTGGGGGGGGGGGGGGGCAGGCCCGTCAGGATCACTCTGACGTGTGTGTTTTAAATCACAGAGCCATAAGACACAATCCTATCCTGAAGATTCATTGGTTGAGCGGTTTTTCTTATTTGGCCGGGGGAGCACCCCAAACATGATGGCAGGACACAGAAAGCTGCCTCCCACTGAGTCAGAGCTGGGATGCTTCTAGCCTAGCTTTGTTGGCATGGATGGGCAGCAGCTGCCCAGGGGTCCAAGCAGATTCCTGCTTAGCCCTGCTTGGAGATGCCGAGCATCAAACCTGGCACCTTCTGTATGCAGAGCAGGTGCTCTGCCTTCCTCGCTTCAAGGAAGCACTCTGCTGGCAAAGAGAATTAGAATAGCCAGAATGGAATGGTGTTGTGGAGTGTTTGGGGCATGCTTATATGGCATCCTGCACCCTTTTGGTCCACTCCTACCATTATCCATCCATGCATTCATTTCTATACCACCCAATAGTGAAAGCTCTCTGGGCAGTTCACAATGAACCAAATGCAAAAGATGCAATAATAATAAACTCAGATAAAATTTAAACGTGCACATGTAAAGTAGCTAAAAATTCCAATGTACAAAAATATAAAAAGTTTAACATCTAAACATCTTCATTAAAAACAGATCTAAATAAAACAGCAGCCATAACCTATCATCTTCCATTAAATGTCTGGGAATAGAGGACATTTTCAACCTGGCAATGAAAAAAATGACCATTGGTAGTGGTGGGCCTCAGTATGGAGATCATTCTACAATTGGAGGGCCACTACTGAAAAGGCCATTCTGGTTGCTGCCTCTTTCTGGGCCTCCCTTGGAGGTGGCAGTTGGAGGAAGGCTCCAGATGAAGATCATAGGGTCTGGGTAGACTGAGATCAGGAGAAGTGTTCAGTCAGATCTCAAGCATAACTCTGAGTCTAGTGCAGGCATTTCTATTCACTAACTGCTATTTGTGGCCATCCTGCCCTCTCCCTCATGAGAGAGCATAGAATGTGGTGTAACTCAGCTATAAGCAGTCACTGCACATCACTGCTGGTATATAAATCCAACTCATGTCTCATGTTCTCAGAGCTCACAGTGCTGCAGATGAGAAATGACGGGGAAAGGGCACAGACAAAGAGCACAGTCTGACCACATACATGGAAGCTTGAGTACATTGCTAGCACTTCTCTGCTTAGAAGCCATCAAAGGTCCCTTGCACTGGGACTGCAGACCCAAACACCATGCCAGCAACTGGGAACAGAGCACCCTACCTGCAACCTGGGCATGTTACCAGGGCTGGTTAGAAGAGATCTGGCCCACCTTAACTTTTCTCAGTCCCATTAAATTGTCTTATAAACACAGCAACTGAAAAAGAATCACTGTTCTGTCTTTAAAAAGCCTGCAAACCTTATTATTCTTTCAACGTTTTAAGTCTTTTTGTTTCAATTGGGTTTTTATCTGAGGATTAATGATGCTGCACTTATTGTAGTACCATCCTGAGACTTTTATGATAGGACAGTATAAAAAAAGCTTTCAATAACATAAGTAAATGAACAAACAAACCAGATGAACCGACATCCCTATTCTTTTGATACTCCCAACACTTTTAAGCTGGTTATGAGCCAGATGTAACTGATTCCTATTTCTCCCTATTCACAAGATGGGAAGATTGTGTCTTGAGGAACTGTATTGCTACATGAGTCATCTTTTCCTCCACAAAACCGTAGCGGCCATAGAAGGTAGTCACAGCTCCCGTGCAGCCCAGCCATTGCCACCGCGGGCCACAACTTGCGCACACTTTTGCCCGCAGGAGCACAGCCTGACGCATGCAGCAGAAGAGCCTGCCACTGCAAACACAGGGGTTCACCATGAGCCCCAAGGCTGTCTTGCTTCCATGGCTGTGGGCCTTCATCGTTCCATGAGAGCGACGGAGAACATGAGCACCGCCTGGGCACCCCGGTGGCCCCACTGATGCTTCCTTCTCACAATCACCTACATGCATCGTACAGGGTGAGGCCACGGTGCACCAGCCACTATGGGCTCTGCTTGACCGCTTGCTCACTTGCTCTCCCCTTGCCTCCTTCGGACTGTTGCCCACCTGTCCTCACTCAGATTCTTGGAATTTCTAGCAAGTGGGATGGGGAAGGGGATGAAAGAAAAAGAGACAGCAATGATGAGATTAGAGGGCACGTGGTCTTGCAAGGACGCTATCCAGCATGGATGCTAATGACAATGGTGACTTGCATTTCCATGAATAATCCACTCAGGTTTTCACTAAGCCTACTGTGATTGTACATAGTCACTGTATACTGAACCTGCAGAAAATTTTAAGGTGTGCTTCATGATGGAAGGTTTCTGCTTCTAAGAGTCAGAAGGCATTGTGAGCTAGTCTGTTCTTTCTTGCTTTTTTCCTGTTAAGAAAAAAGATGGAAGAAGTGGTGGGAAAGCACAGGAGGGCTACAAATCAAAGACAATGCCTGGTATCGCACTATAAAATTTAGCAAATGAGGCCATGCGATCGCACAATAAAAACCTCATTTGGAAGCACCCCTAGTTCAGGGAGCAACATGAGCGAGTCGTACAATGCAGGAAAGCTGCAAGTAATGTTTATGTGTCAGGAGACCCAGTCTGGTTGGAGTTATTGGCCAAATTCCCAAATCACAGTTAGCCAATTTCTTTCTTCCTGTTCTTTCTGTCCTCTTCTTCCTCTTTTTCTTTGTTCTGGTGCACATAGCTGAATCACTCCCGAATCACACCTTCTGCCAGTGTGAACAGTTAAACAAGAAAGGAACAATCTGTCTTGTTTAGCCTGGTATCTGCACTTGGAATTCTGGCTTGTCTCTCTCAGAGGCGTAACCTTTTAAGTGACTTGCCAATGCTCCATTCTAGTTTTGCTCTCTTTTGTACCACCACCAAAAGCATAGAAGCTCCCAAAGGGTTATTCATTTTCATGCTTCGGAGCTAGCAGAAAAGTTGGGGTCTGTGACACAAAATGGAACCGAACTTGCACAAAATGTTGGCCTTTGTGTTGAGGAGGAACCAAACTTAACAGAACCACAAAGCCTCTGAGTAACAGGGCACAGAAGAAGAGTGATGGGTGCGAAAAGTGTTAAGCAGCCCAGTGCTGACCCGCCATTCACCTGCCCTCACTATGTAGCAGAGCAGAATGGTCAGGAGTTCCAGATGTATGTTGGTGGTTGAATGTTTGGCTCTGACGTTAGTCCGATGGAACCTGGAAGAGGCTGACCCATAAAGTATAAAGCACATATGGTACACATATTCATTCTGTGGAGAGGAAGCTTTTCCATTTTTGGAGGTGTGGGGCACAGCAATTCTATACTGGTCTCCTTATCACGGAAAAACATCCAGGATTTGCCGGCATGACATAACCCTCAGTGCATATGGTGGCAAGTGCGTGGCCGACGGAGCTGTAATTATCCAGGCAGTGTGGAAGTAAAGGCCTAAGAGATCATGGTTGTACCTTACTCCTCAAGAATCTTATCTTTAAAAATCTTTTTTAAAAAACAGACAGGAAACAGTTTGCAAAACAATAGGCCAAGTAAGTCACTTTCCTGGTAGATGTGGGAGACTGCCATACAAAGAGAATCAATTTTAACACTTTCATCATATACATAGACGATGCCCTTGTATTCTTGAATGGGATTATGTTCCATGAAAGAATGTTGATGCTCATTCTTGCCCAAAACTTACTGTCAGTGGATTCATATACAGAAGAAACCAATTTTGACCTGGTAGTCCTGTTATGCTCAGTCAGCTCCAATGTCCATCGAAGGAAACGTTACTGTTTACTTCAGCTGCTTTGAAGTGTAGCATGTCTTTTATCTAAGCATCAATACATGCACAAATTTGCTTTGCTTTTGAGGAAGGAAGTGAAATATGACAACAAAATATCAGCAACACAATATGGCTGCATAACACCCCCCCCCCACCCTACAACCTACCCCTTTTTGTTTTGTCTAATGTGTGAAGCAGGGCCAGCAAGCTGTATTTCCGCTCTGACAAGTTGCTTTTGGGACAAGATCACACGGACATGAAAATATGTTGAGTCCTTTCTTTTTGGAGAGATCCAATGAGGTGATACTAAGAGCTGTTTCAAATGAGATAGTGTAACCTGAAGATGTGAGACTCCCAGTACTCACGTGTGTTGCACAGAGAGATTTCTCTGCTGCTTCTGTGTGCTCAGTCAGCTCACCTGGTCAGTTCCTCACTTGTTATGGTGATGCAGAACCCAGTTTTGCAGACCATCGCTGGGAGAGCACGTGGCTTTAATGTGATTCGAAGTATGCAGGGCAAGCCGCACCGATCGTGTGTTTCTCAGGGGCTATTTTGTGCAAAATGACTGCTTTCTTTGCAAAATGATATGCCCAAAATGCAGGGCTTCATACTCTTTGTGCATATATCAAAAGTCATGTTAAAGTCACAAATTTTCCAGGTCTGTGGAAATTTGAAAAAAAAAGAAAAGAAATTTTTTATTTGAAAAAGAAAAGAAAAAAAAGAGATGCCACTCTCAGTCCATCTTACAGATGCAAGTTCATGACCTCATTCAGCTCATCGTCCAGCTTATGAGTCAGTGGACAGTGAACTGGAATCCGTGGGGGCTGAACTGTGGAAATACGATGGATTTCCACCCCTACCCCCAACAGATTCCTCAGACATCCCTGTGCACCAAGTTTGGATAACCCAACAATCCACTGTGTTCAGGTTCCCACACTGAGTTATTATGTCATGTAAATCAGATGAGTTTCTTATATCTAGAGATGGAAATCTGATGTTTTCCCTCTCAGATTCTTGGTTTTCCAAATTAATTTTTAGCTCATCCCATTTCAACATCAGTTTGAGGTGCTTTATTAACTTTGCATAAAAATTCAAAGGCATTTGCGCACTTTTCTCTGAATGCACATATTTATGTTTGTGTCTGGGTACGTATTGCAAGCCAGTCTCCTCAACTGAATGTGTATTTACGTGGTGTTTCCACAAATATGCACATATTTCCTTAATGTGTGTATGTGTGGTGTGTGACTTTTCCCCTAATATATGCATTTGTGTACATTATCATTGTTATATTTATTTGTTTAAATACTTCTTTATGTCTATTTATTTATTTATTATTGGAGAATGCCATTGCAAAATTCAGAGAACTGTAAATTTCGAATGATATTTTAATTTCACTCCTTGGGAAGTTTAAGAAGTGTGAAATTAGGTAGCCGCATATTAAAAGGCAAACAAAATTAGTTTCTCCCCATCCCGACTTAAGTCACATTTCTTCATGCTTGGTGACCTCCAGATGCGTTGGGACTATGGCTTCCCACATTCCCTCCAAGCCAGCATTGTAGTCCAATGCATGTGGGAATCACCAGATCGAGGGAGGCTGGTCTAAGAACACCACTCATTCATAGATCTTTACTGTCCACAAATCATTTCAGTATAACTTGCTGTGAGATTAGAATTATAACTGAGGATAAATGAGATCTCCTTGATGAAAGAGTATGATGATAAGCTACAAAATATTGTAGCTTAAATGTAATAACACGAAGCAATGGGTCAGAGGGACAGAGTTCAAAGAGGATTTAGATCTGCCCCAGTGCATTCTGGTTTGGGCTCAGATCTTTATAGAACCAGGGCTAACATAAAATAGATACATCTATTACCCCCTAGGTGGAAGCTTCCCAATAGCATCCTTTTCTTCCTTACCTGGATGTGGCAGTGTAGAAGACCTGCGGCAGACAGCAGGGGGGAGTCTTCATTAGGCTGTAGATTCTGCTGCAACCAAAAAGTTCTGGAGTTCTTAAAAACCATGTTCTCTTAGCCATTCTCCTGGAAACTTCCAAGCATGCATTGCAGCATCTTGGTGCTCTTGAATACTGTGAAGAAGAGCCATAGCAACCCTTAAGCACCTAGAGGACGCCCCGGAACAGCACCTTTAGCCGCCAACACCGTGCCAGATCAAGTGGGAGGGAAGATGCTTTTGTGTGGGAGCAGACCAAATTCGGAGCCTCAGATTTGTTGTGGAATGTCTGAAGGATGTTGAGCGACTCAGTCTGGTCCTTCTGCATTCTGTCTGGCATGGGCTGCTGTCTTACCTGAGATGCCAGAGATCAAGCCTGGGACATGATGCGTGCCCTCCGGGGAGGCTCTTCCCTGGGGAGGCTGGGGACTCCTGCACCAGTGGGGCTCGTGATCATGGGCACTTAGTCGGAGCCCTGGGAGAGCTATCTGTGGTGCTGAATCCCGTCTCCAAAAGAGCTCTGCCACCACGGAGCACTCCTGCAGTGAATAAGGAGCCACACAAACCTCCCCTGGCTCTGCCTTTGTGGTGGCCACTGATTCCAGGCTGCCAGCATGTGGCATGCTGTGGCAAGCACGGGCAGGGCCCTCCACAGCTCCTGCTGCGGTCTCCCGGCCACTTGCCTGCCCCTGGCTGCAATCAGTGGGGATGACACCAATCACTGACATGCTCATCGTAATGCTCTCAGCTGAATTCCTCACAGGGATGCAGTGGGGATCCGGGGCAGCCTGGCGACAGTGCCGGTCAGAGCTCCTGGTCATTTGCCCGAAATCTCTGCTCTCCCATCTTAAGTACTGTGCACCGCAACCTCCACGCAGGTACTGCGGAAGGGCTAACATGGGCTGGCGAATCCGAGCATGGCCTGGAGCTCTGATCAATGCCTCTTCCACCTTCCTCACAGCAGGTGAGCAGGCAGGCAGGCAGCTGCCCATTTGTGCATGGGGAACCTTCTGAGAATTCTTTGTGTGCTCACATGCACGTGTGTCCACCGAAGGCAGTCAGCTCAAGGACCGCCTCCCCCCCCCCCAAAAAAAAGCAGCAGGTCTCTCAGGACCAGTACAGACCTTCGGTAACACAGTTAATTGTCCAGTTTTGTTTTAATGGGTTACAGGTGTACTGAGGAGTGTGATCCTCATCAGAAATGCCATGCATGGGGAAAGGAGACTTATGTCTTGACTCTCCGCACATGCTTGGGGTCTAAATCTCCCCCTTCCTGCAAACAGCTAGAATGGAGAGGAATGCAGTACAAACACAGTATTTCTAATAAGGATTATATGCACCGACAGACACACATCTGTTTGGCTAAGGTAAAACCAGAGATGTAGCTGCATTCTATGTGTTTATACAATACCTGCTCTGGTCCTAAGTCACTTACTACTAGAAACTTGGAATAATGTGAAAAAAATGGCATGCACTTACAAATATGACTGTTTGCTAAGCAAGTCAAATTAAGAGTAATTATAGAGAAACCAGAGAACTAAAACATGAGATGGGTGATTTATTGCACATTTGTGGACCCAACCCTGTGTTGTTGTATTTATTTTTAGGAGCAGGCTTGAGATGGCAAGTGTAATCAGTTAAAATTCAGCTAAGGGTGCAACATTAGCTAGGGAAGGCTGTGAGAGGCAGGGCTTTTTTCTGACTAAATGCACACAAGACTGTGCCCTCAGGGGCTTGCTCTGGTTCAGAGGTGAACATCCTGGTCCTGTGATAATCTATGCTGGACGCAAGTGGATTCATTTTTCCTAGTGATATCAGTAGGTAATTTATCAGCTGAGCAGATATTCAAGAATACTGAATATGGCCGGTGTAGATCTGACAACCCAAGCAGTGTTAATAACCTAGCTCCTGCAGCCAGGTTCTCTGGCTCAGTTGTATACCCCTGGTAGTCGGGTAAAACAGGTTATATTTCTTTTTCCAAGTGGCACCATATGTTTTGAATGCCAAACAAAGTTACACATGGAAGAAATAAGGAAAGCCTAGCTTCCCTTATTGCCATAGTCAGCACAAACATATGTTTTAAAGTATTCCTTTACAGTCTCACCTCCTACGATGATTTTCATACAGAAAACTCTTTCGTTAAGTTATATTCTTGGCTTTTTCATAATATTTGAGATTAACCATCCCATACTTCCTGAGTGATTCTACTGCATTTGCAACCTCTGCAAATGAAGTTTTATATTCAGTCTTTTCATTTGTTTGGGGGCCTGTCAGCAAAAAGCAGCTTACCAATTGCTGGGAGTCCAGTTGAAATTTATGGTTTAGGAGTCAGAAAATTGATGGAAGCTTTCTTCTTTTCACCGTGCACAACTTTAGCCTTCAGAGGGCAGCCCAAGGCAGTTAGACAATCCTTGCATACCTGAACAAACCAACATGTGTTTTTGTCGCAACTTGAGTAACCTCTTGTTCAGAAAATGCAGCAAAAGCTGAAGTTTGCAGCACTCCTCATCTGTCATTGAACTGAGGAGAGCTGAGGCAGCCATATTTAATCAGCACCGAAACCTCCTTCTGGGTAATGTTTGTACTCTCCTGTAATATTTTATTCGAAGCCACTTCCCAGACGGCATTATTGATTCATGTCATTGTCCTCCTCATGGTACTGTGCGCTGATGCAACGTGATACCCAGCTGCCAGTCCTCTTTACGGACTGGACTCCGTAAGAAAATAACAATAACAAAAGCAAGGTAATGATTTAGGCTGTGTACCATGCAGGATACTGTGAATGAAAATGGCTCTTGGCTGTGTCTCTTTTGTGGATAATATGAAAATTGCCTGTGCTACACTGACTCTTGAATAGCTAGAAAATGCCTAGGCAGATATGGCTGGGACAAATATCCTGGAAAATGTACAAGAGCAAACAGGTGTTGTGACTTATTTGGGGATTTGACCATAACCTTTCCAAAATGGCCCCTGATGACTCAATCAGGATATGTCCTCAATTGATGTGGGATAATCTAGTCACTGTCTCAAACAAAGTCAGAAAGCAACATAAAACCCCTCGAAAGTTTGCACGCCTATACCCAAAGTTTGCACATATTTCTCAGTTGACCTATAACATATGGAAAGGAAATCTCACGCTTCCTTTAAAGCAAAGATTGCTCCAAAGGCAACTGTTGCCCATGCTAGACTTCCTGAGCACCGAACACAGGGTTGCCTATGCCACACTTGGAGTAATAAGAATTCCTACAGAGTGAATTTTCTGTGATGCACTGGAGGCTTACTTTGTACTGCATGTGTTATTTTGCTATAATGGTCAGAACTACATGTGATACCGTACCAAACTGCAATTTGTTCAGCTGTGCCATGATTGCAGCCAAGTTCTACTTCACTCCGAACACAAACTGCTATTTCTCTCCCTTTCCTCATCCATCTGAAGTAAGTAACTTTTTGGCCAAACACCCATGTTGCAGAAAATCCGTGACTGGATCTCTTGCCATTATGCGTAGTTTGGCCTTTGCGCCTGCACCCATGGAAAGCTAGCCTCAGTCTCCCATCCTGTAGAGGGGACGGCATGGGTGAGTATCACCCTCAGGCATTAGGAAATAGGATATTCTTTGCCAATGCAGGGGGTGCAGGGAATCAGCCAACATTGCAACTATATGTGGATACTAGAAACCAGTGGCATTGCACAATACATGTTGCTTTTCCATATTCCCCCAGGGAAGGATTTTAGCTGAGTATGGGCAGAGCGTGGGTTTTACAAAATTTGGTCCCAAACGTTGGATGATTAATAACTCAGTGCAGGGTTGGCCTGAGAGAGGGGGCCCGTTACTCAGTCAGTACAGGCTGATGCTCAGATCGATTCAACCAATTCTGAAGAGGAGGCAGAGGACCTGTCTTCATCAAGGTTACTTGGTGACATTTCTTAGGCAGAGTGCAAAAATCTGTCTACTTTGGAAAGGGAGAGAAGTTTTTCAGGGTGGACGGGGAGCAGTTGCAGCAAGCACTCATTGACCCAGTCACTCAGCAGTGGGTGAAATGAACTGCCCAATTACAAGGTCTCACCATCTAAGCCTTCAAGCAGCAAGAGTCACCCTGAGGGTAGAGTCAGATGCTTTACTGTAAGGGAGGGACAGAGGGACAAAGTCTCGGTTTGGGCTTGACTTCTTACATGGGCAGATGCTTCTCCTTCATCTTTAGTAGAAGGCTATTTAGAGTTCATACTGCTTCTGGAACCAGTTAAGTTCCACAAAAGAAGGGCCCTACCATTAGGCTGAGGGAACAGTTGCCTCAAGTGGCTGAGAGGGGTAGCAAAACGTTGAAGGATAGCCCGCCCTGCACCCGATCATCTAGGGGCCTGCTTTGTGTGGTGGAGGATGGGGCCCCATCAGTGCTGAAAAGGACTCCGCTGCCAGGCCAGTCACTTTTGTACATGGAATGGGAGTAGGCATTCAAGGATAGGCTGGGCATGCACATGGTGGACATTTCATGAGCGGAGCTGACTGGAGCTGGGGGTCAAATTAGGTGGCCCAAGAGGCTCCTTCTGACTCACTCTGTTTCTATATTTCCTTGTCGCCACCTTCTTCACCTCAGGCAGCAGAACATCTTGGGTCAGACTTGACCCAGTGGAAGGATATGTTTATATCAGGAAATTTCCTTGATGAACATGCTTGACCCCATGGCCCTCTGGCCGCTTCCAACTCTACTATTGTGTGTAGGACTGGGGCAACCCTGAAGAATTTTGTTGGCAATCCCTTTAGTTTCTAAGGTTGTGATCCCATGGTGCCAGGGATTGTAGGATATATCCCATTTTTCCCTTTCAGAGGTGGAGAAGAGGCCCCACCCTTGGCTGAGAATGCCTGACCTTGGATCCCAGCTCCAGATCCCCATGGAAACTTCTGCCACACTGATCTTTTCTCACATCTGGTTAAAAGGTGGTTGACTGAGGGTGTGTCATGAGTGGCTCAAAGAAGCTTTAGATCCACAGGAACCAAGCCCTTCTAGGTCCTAACCATGCCCTCAACACAGGGGGAAGATTATGCCAATTCTGGAGCTGGTATAAAGAGTTCCCCTTCCAGTGCTCACCATTAGAGGAAATAGGAACAGAAAGACAGGGATGAGAATGCTGTTCTTTTTCACAGCAGACCTGCTGGCTTGAGGCTGACAGGGCTAAGGCTGCATCCAAGGGCCCTGTGTCAGAGCACTCTGAATATAATGGTAGGATTGGGCTGCTCATTCTGCTACAGAGAAGACAACCTCCCAGAATATCTTGCTAATCCCATTCTGCTTCCTTCATACTGTAGGAAATGGTGTAGTGGTTAAGAGTGAGTGACTGTGGGACCAGTACACTGAAAGCAAGCGTGGTCTTGTACTTATGAGTGTGGGACTGGGACTCAGGCGATCTGGGCTCTAGTCCCTGCTCATCCATGGAGCCAAATGGGCAACTTTGGACCATTCACAGATTCTCAGCCCAACCTACCTCTCAGGGTTGTTGTTGTGGGGATGAACTTGAGAGCAGCAGGAGGAGAATGATGTAAGCTGTTTTGAGTTTGTTGTAAGAAAAAAAAAAGGTCTAAATGAATAAATAAGCTGCTTGATGCTGTGTACTAATTGAGTCAACTAGGGTTCTCAGCTGTCATGTTTCAGTGCAAAGTGTAGAAATTAACATGGCAAAAACAAACCTGCTTTTCCATCTCTAGAAGAAAATCATTTTTATATATCTTTTTTTCTCAGCCTGATGAAGGCACTGAAATGTTAGAGGGGCGATGGAATGTTTTTATAACTGTAAGAGTTTAATTCATGGAAGATAACCAAGTATCCTTGAAAACAGTTTAAGCAATGTGTATCCTAAGCAATTCCTCATTTGAATGATTCCAGCAAGTGGAAATGTAAGAGCATCTAGATTGTTTTCAAAACTCCATGCTCTAAAAGAAAATAACCTTTAGGAAGAATGACTTTGCTGTTGTAGCAAAGTAAAATTAAAAATGGGTGATGTAGCAGAAAGAATAAGAGCAAAAGGCCATTTGCAGAGGATGGTTGTGTGATGCTGTTGTCCTGCATTTTCATTCACAGCTTTGCATGGGCTGCCCAGATGTTGTCGGCTCCTATTAGATGTACATTGTTGTTTGATTGGTAGCACCGGAGTCCTCTGTCTGAAAATTACCCCTAGTTGCAGTAAAATGTAGCCAATGTAATTGTAAAACAGATACTTCTAGAACTGTCATGAAGAAAAACTTCTGAGATAGCATCAAAACATCCATCCATTACTCCTAGTTTTCCTCCTCCTTTCTACTTTATCTTCACAACAACCTTATTGTTTCATATTGTTGTTTTAAGTGTTGATGCAAGTGAACTGCCCAGAAAGCTTTTGCCATTGTATGCTCTAGAAATGTAGGGAATGAAGAAATGGATAGTGTGCAGACAACCCTTTTTTATCCTCCAAGTAACCTGGATCAGGACCACCACACATAGGTAGGTGAGATTTAAACCCTTTTTGCCACCCAAAGAGCTCCATTTGCACCAAAGAAAGCTATTTTTTGAATTAAAGTTTTTCTAATCTACTAGTCACTACTGTATCATGAAGAGAAACTGGCATGCTTTTCTCTTTGTATTGAAAATAGGTTAAATTTGACAAAGACACAAGCCCCTCCTTGTTTCTGCTCACCAAGGGTGCCTGTTTAAATAAAGACTGCTTTCTTTAAAGATTAGAATAAAGTCGAAGAGGTTTTCATCAATAGGGAAAGCAGCTTCCAGAGCAACATCACTTACAAGATTGTGTTAGAGACACCAGGGACACTTTGTCAACTCACAGTCCAAGGCACAAGCACAATCTCCCTCCCTCCCTCTCTTTCTCTCACACACACTTGCTTTCTCTTTCTGAGGCTGCATGCTCAGATAATAAAAGAGGAGGAAGAAAGTCACAGCTTGGTGCTAAGACTTGCTCTGTCGCATATTTCCCACATTCTGAGCCAGAAAAAAGTGAAACATTAGGCCCATCCATTGAACTGCCCTGTGCAGCCAGGGGGTGAAACCCTCCGCAAATCCAGATTATCCTACGATAATGGTAAACATTGCCATTCCTGTTTGGAGCTGATTATGCCCGTATTTGGGGAAATCCCCTCAGATGCCGACCTACCTCTTGTTAACAGGGAAACATCTGCACTTAGTCATCTACCAGGCACGTGCATGTGGCCCAGCCAGCTGGAGTACCAGAAGTCTACCTGGGGAACACGCAGAGGCAGGTGTGGCAACTCAGGGGGATGTCAGACACTGCTGCCGTAGGAATACCGCACCTGGATATGGGCGTGTGTCCTGACTGGGGGATGCTTTGCCCTCTCCACACATTTGTTTTTGCAACAAGGTTTTTTTCAGTTCTATCATCTGATAGGAGTAACTTCTGCGACTAGACTAGTATATGTGCAGATCATGGCAGGGAGAAGGGGATTGTGTTATAACATATAAAGGACCTGTAGGAAGTATCCCAAGGCACATGTCAGTGGTGGTTACTTCAACACTTACAGCTGCTTGACTCTCCCCAATTCTTCATTCCTGCTGTTGCTACAAGCCTGCCATTTTGCCATGAGAACAAGAAGCTCGCCAAATACTAATGTTCCACTTTTAAAAAAGAGGTAGAAGGAATCTGGACGCAGGAACCCTGCAAGGTAGCACCAAGACTGCATTTGTAATTTTAAAAATTGGAGGAAGTGTACCTAGAAAAAAGGCCAATGAAATGAAAACCCTTTCCACTTATTTTACTTATTTATTATTTTATTTATTGCATTTATATATTCAGCCATATAGCCGGCAGGCTGTCTGAACAGTTTACAGATTTAGAATTGTATATGCAATTCATAAAATATTCAGATGAGTAGACAATAAAAGACTAAAACAATATGACAAATAACAGCCACAGGGCAACTAACCACAGCAGTTATAATACTTTAATCCCCTGGCACAACAACAAATAATAAAAAAAAAAATTGAAACTGTTTCAGACTTAACTATTAAGAGAACTGGAAAATAAAGAGGCTTTCACCTGACCCTGAAAAGATGGCAGAGACAGCGCCAGGCATACCTCTCAGGGGAGCATGTGCCAGAGGTGGGATGCCACTACTGAAAAGGCCCTTCTTCTAGTTGCCACCCCCCCCTTACTTCTTTGGGAGGGGTTCTTGAGAAGGACCTCACAGATGATCTTTAGGGTCAGGTAGAAACATCTGGGACAAGGTGTCCTGCTTTGCAGATTCATTTTAGAATCAAACACTAATATTAATAAGCAAGGTGATACAGAGTTATGTGGGGCAAGATGAATAATGGAGAAGGGGAAAGGATTTTTCTAAATAAAAAACGGAATAGAAGCATACAGTGAAATACAGCCAGCAAGGCAGATAATTGTATGGAAATACTGTACAATAAGAAACAGTAGTGATTGAATGAGCTAAGTCTACATCTAGAAAGGTGTGTGCTGGGGGGCGGGGGAGGGAGACTGTTGAAAAGGGAGTGCCAAAAGTGAAGAGAGTCCTTGTTCGGGTATTGTAATGACTAAAGTTGCATAAGGGGAGGGTGCGCCTGGGCATCCTAACGAAGGGGATGGAGCATCCTGAGTGATCGGGGCTCATCCCTGCTGTCTTCTGTGCAACTCACATTGCTGGGGGATCAGAATTCCAGAATAGGCCTACAACCACCTTCCCCAATCTGGAACCCTCCAGATGTTTATATTACAACCCCCACCATCCCTGACCATTGGCCCTGACAGTTTGAGCTGCAGTTCAGAACATCTAAATCGAGAAAAGGGGGAAGTGGGGTTGCATGTCTAAGGTATTCCTTTCTCTTTGCAGAGCAGCAGGTCTGTGTCCAGTCTCTTTTATATTGTACCAAGATTTTCCCCAGTTGCTCAATGGACAGCACAAATTGCAAGTGTGTGACCTTTTTCTGACTCTAGTCTGTGCATTTAAATGGCTTGTTAAATTCCGGAGCAGCCTTGTGCTGCAAGGTATCATAATATTTTGTACTGGTTCACTGTCATTGGCAGAGGATGCACAGTAATGAATCTCTGTGTTGGCAAAAAACCCATGGTTTAAAAATAGCTGTTGTTTCTCCAGTTTATAGGTGTCAGAATGCCCTTTATTTCCACTGTGTAACAATTCTTGGTTTCAACTTAAATTTTCTAAGCTGTGTATAGATAAACCATTGTTTCTGATGTGCCTAAAATATGTACAAATGCCCATGGACCACTACAGACTGTTACTTAGATTACAGGGTTGGTATATTGGGCTGCATTACTCCTTGCACCTCAAGTAATGTGCTTTCATTTTAGGCAAACCAGGTAAACTGCATTAGAATAAGCAAATGAATTTGGACGTTTCAGCAGAAATTCCACATCTAGACATAGACTAAAGAAGTGAGACAGACAACAAAAAGGGTGGTGAGAGGTAACAAGACAAAATGAATGAGCCAGGTGCAAAATATACATATTGGAAAAAATAAAATAGAATTTATACTTATACTGTTATGCTTCCAAATTGTTCAAACTCCTCCTCCTCCTCTTCTTCCTCTTCCTCCTCTTCTTTCTGGTTTTGAATTCTGCCTGTGAGAACCCATAGCTTGCCACAGGCAGCCAAGAGTGAGCAATGGACCACCACCATCTCTTTCAATAATAGTGGTTCCTTGGTTAATAAAATTAACTTTTGAAAGTTCCAGGTAAAATTCTTTGACCTACCTAATGCCTCTTTGTTTAAACATAACTTTGAAATAATGAAAAAATGCATATGCCTAAAATTATGAACCCAATAGCACAATTATTTTTTAAACTGGTATTATTATTCAGACCTATTATAAAATGATGAAATGAGTTAATTCTTAACAAGAAGGAACTTTGTGGCATTTAACATATACTTCTCTTCCTCATCTACATTCCCACTATTTCTGTTTCGAGACTCTAGGTGCCATTGCTTATTTAATCAAAATAGCTTCACCTGTGCACAAGAGGAAGGTATTGGCAGGGTTGGAGAGCTCCTAAGGTTTGGAGTAGTCCCACAAAAACCTTTAGAAAAAAAAACTCAAGCTCTTGGATAGTCATGGCGAGCCTCAAAAACAACCCAGTGGGTACTGAACATGCTCAGTAGCCAAGAAAATGGTGTGGAGGGCAGAGAATTGAAATGGAAGAGAATCAAATGAATAGCTGTAATCCTAAACAGACAACGCTCCATACATATCATTTTGCTGTAGGTCCTACTTGTCCAACTTACATGAACAACATACCAACACACTTACCAAGATTTAACATATTTTGGTCCCTCTGTAGTCTGACCAAACCCAAGAGTCTCCCCGTAGTGTGGAGTTCAGACTCACGGCGACATAGACCAAGTCCACAGCTGCTCCACTTTCAGTAGCTGCTCCAAATTTTCCCCCAGCCCAGCTTTTTTGGTTCTAAAGAGTGTGTGATCCATGGAGAGACCACATGAGAAGAAAAGGTGGTTTAATATTTGTTTTGTGAGGAGTTTGCTCTATGGAGCACCCTTAGCTCATACGCCTTACATGAAATGAAATGAAATGAAATGAAATGAGGCATTACAACACCATTTCGCTTTGATAAAAGCCACATACGGCAGTACAGTTTGAGCCAATCATCTTCTCACTTCCTGCAAGTGGTGGAGTGGTGTGTAATGGAGAAGAAGTACTCAATGGCAGGGGATGAGAAAAGGAATGAATTGTATCCCTTTCCATATACAATTGAATATTCAATTGAATTCCAATATACAATGGAATATTTTCTGCAAGAGGTATATCTGATTAAATTGATCCTATATTCATTAATTTAAAAGCAGGCTGTGTGTCGGGAAAGTATGGATGAATCTGATATTGTATGCAAGGATCAGAAGTGCTCATAGGGGCCTACCATGTGTTCAACAGCTGTTCATCTTGACTTGAACAGAATGTCGAGAGCTAGACTGGTACTTGGTTCGATCTACAAATATTTACTGGGGCCATTTGTACCTGATTACAGCTGACTCAGTGGTTAAAATGAAGCATATTCAGAATCAAGGGGATTTTGGATCAGAAATATGTTGCTGGTTGTTTTATTCTAATGCTTTAAGTCACAGAGCCTCTGAGGCTGCAGAGGCTGATTATGCCCCATAGAGCAGAATCAACAATGCAGAAAAAAATCAGCTTTTGTTTTGGAAAACTTGTATTCTCTCTTTCAAGTTAGAATCGTGATAGAAGAAAGATTAGCAGCAATTTAGGAGGTCAAAGTGACGTTTGAAGCAGATAAGCTGATGCAACATTAATTTCATAATTACAGTCTGGAAATGCTTTTGCTTGACATACACTTTGATAGAAGGAATAGCAGTGCATACACATGCATTTAATCATTAAATTTCTATCCCTTTCTATCCAGTAAAAATTGATGCTCTGGGTGGCTAAAAGTAAATTCTGAATAAATAATGGAGTTATAATCCAACATGAAAACTGATAAAATAGGAACATATCCCAATTTTTAAAAATCACATAAATACATGAATAAGAAGGGGGAATAGCACCCACAAGATTAAAGCCTACAGCAGCATCACAATAGTTTAGATGCATCTGCCAAAAGCTTGCCTAATAATGTCTTAACTTGTCAGCAGAAGGACAATAGAAACTGAACTAGCTCTGTGTCCCTTATGAAAGCATCAAAGAGTTCAGTGGGGCATTAAAGGCTGACGGTTTATTTGGTCATAGGTTTCATGGCTACCCACAGAGCCTTGCTCTCAATGCAAAACATACCAGACCAGTCAGGAAATATATTCCAGCCCATCTCCAAGAGCAGTAAACCAAGTGAGATAAGCCAACCAGTGAAGATATACAGTATCCCAAAAGTTTGATCATGTTGCTTCATTTAGACGGGCTTTACACATGCAGTCATTAGAAAATGAGAAATTAGTCATTAGAAATAAACAAATAAATAAAATGGAAAGTAAAAGTAAGGTTTGAAAAAATAGCTTTGAAAAACCAGTACCAGAAATGACCGATTCCACTTTGGGCTTAGGTCTTCTTCAGGAAGTCTAGTTTATTAAAAAAAAAAAAGTTTAAGAATAAAAACTTGAGCACACACAGTTCAATCCATACTCCTCACAGTGTCTATACATGCAATTATGAAAGCAAATTTGTTTTAAAATGTTTCCTAAATAGAAAATAAAATATACAGATGTGTTACATATTTTAAAAAAGAGAGAATATGTCTCACCAGTTCAGGGACAAATTCACGGATCTTGCCAAACCAAACTTGCTAGAATATATACATATATGAATAGCGTAAAACTGAAAGTGACTGTAGGCTCCACTGTGGATATATAATTATAGAAAAGGCAAGGAATGGTAGTAGTCCTGTAAATAAACTCATAAAAATGCAGTTATCATTTTCAAATATGTCCAAAATATACAGCTTTCTATAAATGCATACTAATAAGCTTATATATAAAAAAAGAAAACCAGCCTGGCCTACCCCAGTCTGGGTTTCTCCACCGGGTGTTTTAGATACAGCTTGCGATTGGACATGCCAGCTGGGACTGAAAGCCCAGCACATCTCATGCAGTCATGGTGTGGGAAGGCTGGACTATTGCACTGGGGCGCCCATCAGAATGTAGCACCACACACTGCACAGCAGGCCCATGTCTAGCATGGTCCAGCGAGACCACTGATTAGCAGTGTCGCCAGTATTCCAGGTGCCCAGATCTTACATGTTCTTCCTGCTACAGAAAGCCTGCTTCTTTCTTCATATACTGGACTACAGCTCCCAGCATCCTCCAGCCGACTGGAGTTGACCACCTCTGGAGGGACTCAGGCTGTGGGAAACTGCTACGCACTGAGATGGGAAGTGGAAGCCATTCAAGACACATCATCTGCTAGTTGGAACGGGGACCCACGTGGCTCGCAACCTCCATGGCTAGAAACGCTCAGAGGGGCCTGCCACTGCAAGACTCTTGAGGCAACGCTGCTCAGCGGTGGGCTTGCTGGACCATGCTGAGAACTGCATGGTGCCCCATTCCAAACACGGATAAGGAAACTGGTAGCCATACCCATTGGTGGGAAGTGTGGAGGCTGGGTGTGCGGTGACCAAACTAATAATTCAGGACTGATTCGCTGGGGCTGGGCCAAGAATATTCTTGCCAGGCTCTAGCACGCACTGCTCTGGCACAACAGAGACAAACTACAGTAATATGAGAAACATCAGAAGAAAAGAGAAGTGAGAATGTTCTTAAACCCTGTGAGAGGTACTGGGACTTGGCTCTGCAGTTTATTTCTAAACCAGGAGAAAAGCAAAGGATGCTGTAGTAGGTTAGATCAGCTATCAGACTGCTGCTTCTTCCACAAGATGTCGCCTGGCTTTTATTGATATATTCAGATTTGTCCCACCTGATGTCAAGGGCTCTGGGCAGGGAATATGAAAACAAAATGGCCAACTTGGAACCTCAAAGGTATCATTCAGCCCTACCATCCCCTACTATCCCCTTCTCTGTTCCACCCCACACCTTGTGCAGCAGCAGAGAAAGCAGAACATGAATCTCTTGGCCCATTTCTGTCCTGGCAAGCATGGCTTCCTGAGTGATTTGGCACAGGATGAGATGCCGGTGATGCAAAAAGGAATGTGACAGTGTCATGTGCATACACGCCTCTGCAGCAGGGTGCTCCTACCTTTGGAAAGGGAGAAACCGCCTGGTGGCCACCATTGCACGGTCATGGGGTTGGGCCACCTGGTGGCTGAGCTGTTCGGTCAGCTTCATCTGGACCAGCTAGCACAGCTCACAGGGTTTGCATAAAGCTAACACAGGATTTGCATAAAGATGCTGGTCCTCTGCATTCCCAGTGGAAGGAAACCCAAAGGCAACAAAGGAAGTGAGCCATGGCCCCCTCATGCTCCTTTGGGCCACCCGCACTCGATTCTCCTACGTGGAAGAGAAGATAACGTCGTTGCCCCTGATGCTGAAACATCATTAGGATTTTATAGTCCTCCAAGCAAGTCAATGCAGGTGAAGGTGAAGAAATTGGTGTCCTTGAATTAAAATAAGCATAACCTGAGGATCTAAAGCCCTCCATCTCAAACACACACAATTTCTGTTACCAAATCACAGAAGAGTGGAAAGGGAGGGGAAAAGACAGCTACAGCAGTGAGAGGCACCCTGCTGCTGTATAGACGCTTTGGACTCGAAGGCCAATGGTCAGGGATTGTGGAAGTTCTAATCCAAAGCACCTGGAGAGCACCAAAGTTCGTCAGTGCGAGGGGTCAACTTTCTATCCTGCTTCGATTTCACGAGTATAGCTCTTTAGAATAAAGATGTTTGTAGCATTTGCTGGAGTGATTGCTTTCATTGGGAAGGAGTGCCTGCCGCACTACAGGCTTTAAGATTGAGATCAATGGTTCTTCCCTACTGGCTCACTGTCTACCCCTGACTAGTGACCCTAATGCTGTTGGCACCCCTGCTCAGTGGTAATCTCACTGCTAATTTTACTCCACTCACTGCCGCATTGGTCAAATGTGAACCTTAAGAAACAAGCTTGCTTGGACTTCATGCGGAGTTGCAATTATGAGGAAAGGTGCTCTTACTCTCAGGGCTGAGCTCAGACCTTTAAAAAATGTAGGAAGAGCACAAGCAGGTTTGTGTAGACTGCCTTCCATTGACCAGAAAATGTCTGCAACCAGCCCCTCGCTTGCTAAGTCACCCCAGTCATCTTGGGTTGTTGGGACAGGCACGCAGATCCATCTGGCTCTGCTTCCATCACCACAACTGGTGCAGAGATTCCTTGCAAGCAAGAGTTGTTGTTTAAATGGTGAATCTTTTGCCAAGCCCTTGTTTTGACCAGAATCTTGTTTAGACAGCATGGAAATTTCCCTGCTATCCTCTCAGGAATGTTCACATTTGAAGTATAAAGTTACCTACTTAGTGCAGCATCGTAAAAGTAATTATTGACTTATTTAGTTATGAAAGTGGGGTTCCCTGCTCCCTGCTCTAGCTTTAAATCATCAACAACAACAACAGGCGATGACAGCTGTCCACCGTGACCTGTTCTGAGTGAGAAATACAGGCCACATCTTCTGCCAAAGGTGCCATTTTATCCTTTCTCTGTGTGTGCAGGATGTGCAGGATGGTTCTGTAACCACAATTTATTTGTTTACAAAACCACTTCCTGAAATCCACCCTCAAAAATTAATGTGCCATATTTTCCAGCTTCCTGCTTAGCCACATCATCACTCTGTGGGAGTGGAAAATGCACTCTAGAACAGCTCCAGTGGTAGCACATGTATTGATTGATTGATTATCCCCCTATGTGCGTACCACGTGCACATACACACACACACACACACACACACGAGAAAATCAAGGTGGGGGGCATGGTCCTTCTCCTCTCCATTTCACCCTCTCAACTTGATAGTTTAGGCTGAGAGTCCATGACTGACCCAGGTAGAGACTAGAGCCTGGATCTCCCAAGTCCCAATCTAGTACTCCCACCACTGTACCACCCTGGCTAATTGCAGATGAAGATGGGGAACGGCTGCAGCTTGGCAGCAGACCAGTTCTTTCGCCCTATATTCATTCTCCAGCATCTCTGGGACAGCTGGAGAAGACTCCACCTGAAACAACGACTGACATTCAGTGTAGCAGACAATGTGGGACTGTATTGACAATGGTCCTGCTCAGTATCAGGAGACTGCCTATGCTCCTAGCAGTGGCTGGCAAGCTATGCCATTGGGGTGGGAATTATTTATCTTTTCTAATCAGTTTCCAAATGACCCAGAATTTCCCACAACATGCTTTAAAAGCCACAGCTGCATCATATCTGATAGTAGTTGATCACTGGGAACACTGGATACATAACACACAGTGACATTTAGTACATGCCACTTGACAGAGAACATGCAACAGCTAGCAATGGGCATTTGACAGCATGTGACTGTTGACAGCTTATGAAATTTCATATCTGAAGCCTGTCAACATCAAAACCATCAAGGCATGCCAATAAGTCTTAAGGCATTCCGTTGGCTAATTTCTAGATTAAAAATCATTTTTGCCACATGAATTCAAATGGCAAAATTAGAATATCGATTGTACATGAAATATTGACAAGCATTCATTTCAATGGAAACAAAATATTAGTCCATTTTCTAAAGCTTCTATCTGGTCTATCATCACCTCCATTGTCCCTCATCAACAGGGGATAACAAGCTGTATAGATAATATGAAGAAAAAGCAAACTGTTTATCTTAACTAATTTGACTGTATATTATTTCCAGAATGATAAACAAACATATCAGTAGAACTTCAAGGAGGACAGATCAAGCATAGATAATGTATATAGTCAATGGAATGTAATGTATAAGTCTTCTCAGTCTGGAGAGTTTCAAAACCTATCCTGTGAGGTATTTCCCCCCCAGCTGATTTAGGCAGAAACCTTACATAACCTTACTTAAGAGCAAGTTCCACTGACATTGTAAAATAGCAGAAGACAAAACTGTAACAAAAGCAGTGGCAGTGGCTAAAACAGTGCAGTTCTTAAAGCAGTAGATGAGTTCCTAAAAGTGCAATCCTATGCGTATCTGCTCCACAGTAAGCCACAATGAGTTCAGTGGACTCACTCCCAAATACGTCTGTACAGAATTTTAGCTCTAAGGACTTAATTTTGAGCATAAGTCAATTTTCTCCTTAAGAAGTTCCAAACGGTTCTTAAGCAGGTCTGATTTTCTCTGCAATGTGCCAAATGTGGTTCATCAGACTATTTCCCCTGCTAGTTCTTTTAGTTTTTAACGCTTTGTTTCATTGCCGTTAAAAAGAGCAAGACTGAGGACCTTGCCGCTTAAGCAAGGTTGGTGTCTGGGTCTTAAAATGAAAGAGAAGGATGTTTTGTTTTCTGTGTTTTTAAGAGCAAGCTCTCCTGTGCTGCGCATGAATGTCCCCCCTTCATCCTTGGTGGCCATCGGACTTCTTAGACAAAGGGCCTCAATGTGCCACATGTGCCTCCTCCTCTAATGCGAACCAGCAGCCCAAATTACCTGTGTGACCTTTCCCATGAGCGTGAGGAGAAATCTCTCCTGGAGTGAGATAAAGAAATTAGGTCTTCATTCTTCCATGGTTTACTCCTAGGAATGCTTCTTGGCTGGACGCTAAGAATAAACCAGTTATTGAAAAGGGGAGCTGGGAAGCTGACAAGCATGGCTAAGCCGAGTAAGGAAATTTGATGAGGAAATAAGATGCTTTGTAGATCAGTGTGTAGTGATTAGTCTTTTGAATGCTGGGATTATTATATAAGCAAAAAGAGAGGGAGTGCTTATTGTAACTGACAGCTTCCACTTATACAGGTATTCTTCCAACTAATGAGAAGCATAATGGACTATTTGTTTATAAATCTTACCCCAAACCCCCAGCCTTTTCCTCAGACCAATTAAGTGGGCTGGAAAGCTAGAGACAATAATATTCCCCCCTCCCCTCTGGCTGCCTCTCCTTCTATGCTGTAGTAGGAGCAACTACAACTGAAGAGGCCCAGAGGAAAGCACTCATTTCTTATTACTTTAGTACTGCTTTTGTCAAATTTATAAAAGATGCAGAGGGTTTTTGTTTATTGTTCAACAGGAAAGGACTGTGGGTGGATTGGCATGCACCTTTGCCATGCAGAAATTTTTTTTTCAATTCTTTTTTGTTGCAGGCATCTCACATCGACAACAATCAAACCAACCCTGTAGTATTACTCCAGTCATTTTAGATAATATGAATACAAGACGGTGGACACTTATGGAGGAGTTGTCCTCTCTCTCTCATTCTCTCTCTCATAATTGTAGCACCCGGGCTCATTATTCCATGCAGTTGAGCAGTGGGAGCTGAGGTGTTACAAGTGGGGCTATGGCTGAGTTGACACCTGCGTATACTGCCTGCTCCAAGCCCACCCTTTCTTGAAAGGCACGCAATCTTTTGCTAGAGTTATAGCGTGTGTTTTCTTCTTGAATGTCTGTATATCTCAGTTCCCTCTACTGAGACATGCTTAGCCACACTTAAAACATAAAGAATACTTTAATTGAACAGATAAAACAGATACATATTTTTAATTACAGCTTCACTGCTATTTGTTTATGAGATTAAATGCAAGGTACCAAATACGCGACACTCGCTGTCACATGCTTGAATTAATCTTAAGGTCACAAGAGCCTTATGCCCATGCGGCTTGTCACAAAGATCATGTGCCTTCTTCTAGCAGAGGGAGAAATGCAGAGTCCCGTAGGCTTATACTTGTCTCATTGTTTGTCCAACAAAGCTCTCCCTGGGTAGGCAAAGGCAGATGTGGTGGACGTGCTTTTACACTTTTGCTC